TTGCAGTTTTAGATTTTGGATTAGGTTTTAATGTCAGGATTAGGATCAGGATGACATCATCCACAACAATATCAATATTCATCCATAGTCACCCTCCAGGGGCCAGTTGTTCAAATGCCCGGTTAGTTTAACCCTGGGATAAAATTCAAAGCAAATTGTCTATGAATTTAGAAATAATATTTGCTGTGTTGGTGTAATGTACTCAGGTGCAGTCCTTGAGACTCACAAAATTTCAGGTCGGCAAGAAATTGCCGACCTAAAAGCGATAAATCTCAATCTAGGTCGGCAAATATTTTCAAAACAAATAGAAAATATCCAAATGAAAATTTAATTTGCTTGCTGCAAATACGTGTATTTATAAACAGCAATTGATTGCAATCAATGCCAATAGCAAACAAAACAACTAACAAAATGTATGAACTCCAATCGAACAGTGCATGTTGTGACCAAATGTTGTGACAGACCGTACACTAATTTATCACCATATACTTTCGCTTAAATCTGGACGATTTTAACACATGTTTACTTTTCAAAATTTTCAGCAATGAAACTGCAATGTGACTACGCAAGCTAATGATCAAAACCTGGTAATTAAAACATCATCGTTGAAAATGCGTATGTGAAAGATACGTTCACGGAAAAAAATGCCGAGACGTATTTGAAAGTAGGTCGGCAAAATTTTGCAGACCTAAATCTACAGATATCGCTTTGCAGGTCAGCATTTAGGTCGGCATTGCCAAATGCCGACCTGAGTTTCAAGGACTGCAGGTGAATAAGATGCTTGTGTGATGTTACTCTGAGTGTATATCCACACCGGGTAAGCTTGAAAAATATGCCTGGCCACAGTGGGATTCAAACCTACGACCTTTGGCAGAGGCATTGGGAGAGCATTGGGCTAGTATTCCTTGGCAGAGCATTGGGCTAGTATTCCAAAAGTCGTAGGTTCGAATACCACCGTGGCCAGGCATATTTTTCAAGCCTGCCCGGTGTGGATATACACTCAGAGTAACATCACACAAGCAATTTAGAAATATTTCTTCAGAAATCTTGTCTGGATGAATGAAAGTTTTCTTCAAAGTTTCGAAGTAAACAGGCATGCAGAAACAAACAAACACAAGGATTAGCCTTAACCTAGCTTAGAACAACCGACCCCTGGTCAACCTGAGACCAAATAGACGACTAGACCCAATACTGAAGTAAACATTTCATTTTACAGTCGACAATCAAATGTTGTACCTGTATTAACTGTAGCAAAATACTGATAACAGTTTTAGACAGAGTTATTTACTAATATTTCACGACTACATAGCCGATAAATGCAATTTATATTTTATTGACATGACAACCGCCATGTGTTCGAGATCATACAGTATTACCATTTTACATACAAATTTGCATAAAGAAATTATTCCCTGACCCCAGCGTAAATGCAAATTTAATATAAGTCGATTAAAAATTCTTTCCTAACAGGAACATTAGGCCCACATCTTTCAATTTGGCTCTTGGGGAACTGCAGTTTTGAAAATTTGCATGTTCGCAGCACGATGTCGCCAGAAGATTTTATACGGCGCAGCCTTTCTTCAGTGATAAATTCATCACATTGTTGCCTCAAGAGCGATAATTCCCCTGAAATATGTTCGCTTAGGTTTGCTTGTTGAAAGATTTCGACGAGCTTCCTAAGAACATCGACCTTTTTAAAAGCTTCCATCCTGATAGCATTCCATTCAGCGAACTGCCCAATGTAGCTTGTGATGTAACTTTATCCCGTCAAGTCGACAAATATCGAACTTTATTGTTGATCATTTGCATTGTGCAATCAAAATAGAGCCACCGTGGTGCACCCGTGGCGCACATGACCACAACTTGCCCTGTGATTGGTTTGCAATGCTGCACTGTGGCAGAAAGTTACTATATTTAGTAACAATTGCACAATTTTTTGCACGCTGACCGTGGCATTTTGTGGCTGTGATCGCAGCTTCGAATTTACGACTGTTTTCCTAACATATTCAGCACACTTTCGGCGTTTTTTATAGTTCAGTGTTTAACTGGATAATTATACTATTGATCAAGGAATATATTTCGGAAGTTTTTCCTGCTTTTAGCAAGAATCCATATTAATATGAGAACAATTACGAAAGATATTATTCAAATTGTTTGCTATAGACCTATATTTGCTCAATTTTGCTGTATTTCAAATAATTAATATATTCTTCTTAAAAATGTGTAATGCAGTATCCAACAAAGGTGAACCCCGGAAAATCCTAGGTGGGAAAAATCTGACTGTGGCTCGAGCCACTTTTGCCATGGTCTGGATCCGTGCCTGCAGTTACGTAAGCAGTATTTTGTATAATTAATCTAAAATTATTTAAAAATGTCAAGTCCAAGATGGCGGACACAGAGCAACTATGAATTATTATACATAATGTAATTTATGCAATATTCGGCGTGATCATGAAGGAAAATTTCAACCAATCATATTCCGCTCCACGTTGTGTGAGGGCAACTGTACAGCAATAGTATTGATTGATCAGACTGCTTAATCCAGTGTTTCTTTACATTTATTTTTGTTGTTAAAATTGGTGTGAAACTTTTCAATACATTGAACTACAAGTTCGACTTTTCATGTAAAACAACTCAACAGATTTATTTGATTTAGCAGATAAAACAATAAATCTGAATCAAATTGATGGACAGGACTTACATAAGTTTTGGTGACAGGTCAACAGTTCAAGAGTTCATTGAAGAAAGTCATTTCAGTAAGCTCACACAACAAGCTGAAAATTTTGAGCATTATGAAAGACAATGCTGAATGTAAATATGTGAAAACACACTATACACACACTCTTACAAATTTACTATAAAATTTGATCAAAATGAGTGAGAAATAATTTGTCACTCAAAATTTGGTCACACTATAAATGGATGAGAAATGAGAATTGTGAGACACAAATGAGAATTGTGATCAAAGTTTGGCATATATAGTACAATGAAGTAAATACAATTCATTTGCTAGGTCTGACATTATTCCTCTTGTTCTACGTCTTGTTCTTTATTGCATACAGACAAAAGACTTGAACAACTACCAACAGATCCTAGCCTCGGCCATAGCTACAACACTTTTGTGACTTTAATTGCCACAAAAACCCCCTTTTAGTTGGAAATATTATTGGCCAGGAAATAACTTGTATAAGAGGCATATTCAAAAAACATTTGGTATATAAATTTATTGAATAACGTTTCGTCACTTTACAAGCAACATTATCAGACTAAATACAGTTAAGCCATTTCATCTATTTTATAACAAATTTTGAAAAAATGTATGATATACAATTACAAACGGTTAAAAAAGTTAAAATTAGAAATATACAATAGGGCAATTTATACAGGACAAAATAAGGCACAACTTACATAAGACGCGACTTAAATAAGACGCAAGTTTGTCGTATAAAAGGTACAAAAGTCTTATGTAAGATGCGTTTTGGATAAGACATGTCTTACATAAGAAGAGGACTTTTAGCTGTTCTTATTAACTCTATTCGATCCGCCAATATTGATTTCCAACGTATATGACGGGAAGATTAAATATTAAAGAGCTCCACAAGTATTTGCAGTGGAAATACGAAAATACTACCAAAACATTCCGCTTGATCGATACTATATATTCCAAAATATTCGTATAATTTTGTTGTTTCTCGCTCAATTTCAAGTGAATTTCTGACCTTGATATGATCAATGCAGTGAAATTTATGCAAATGATGCATTACCAATTTTGCTGTTGCATTTTGAATGTTCTGCCTGATTCAAATACTTGTATCTTTGCTTCTTTTCAACGTATAATAAAGAGAAATACACTAAAAGAATCGCCATCTTTCATTCTATAGCTCGGAGCAGTCTCGGGAAATTGCAAAATAATCTATGCCTATTATGGCGAGTCTCGTGCTCGGAAAGTGTTCGGCCAACTTCGGACGCCAAATTTGTGGTAAAGCATTACGGTTTCCTGGTAAAAGACTGCAGAAATCACTTCCGGAGTGTTTTTTTACCCTAAGATATGGATTTTGATTGGCTTAGGCAGAAAAACAAACCTTTTAGAGCAATTTTCCTGATTATTGCACACAGCGCACGAGCGTTGTAATGTATAATTGTGTTGTAATTGTATTGTTTGAATTGCATCCTCAAGACGTTCTTGGCTTTATTTTGCAAACTGATAGTGCTAGTAAAGACAGAATGTCTTTGTGTGAAGACAAGTATCTCAACCTGGCATTGGGAGTTGTGTCTGGAGTTTCAAGGCAAGTATTTTGATCAGTTTTAGACATTCCATTTCAATGTTTTGCCGTTGCCATGTAAGTAGTATAGGAACTACAGGTTCGAGACCACTTCACCCCTCCTGCATCAGGGTAAAGTAATCTCGAACCTGCAGTTCCTTGGCTAATTTAGATGATCATGTTTTGGAGATACAAGTCATGAAGAAGTGGGTGTGAACCTGTTGTTCAACAGCTTTTTATGAGAACTTGATTCTTGGTATCGTGTCTTACTTCACCCCTCCGAAAATGGTGAAACGTAGCCTCAGATTCTTAGTTCATCACCACATTTCAATTTGGGTTTTTCAGATAGTCTACTAGAATGTGTGTTGTAGAGGCAATCTGAGACTGTTTTCGTCAAACTTACTTAAGGAGCTTCGGGATCGCTTTAGCAGTCCCGTAGCTCCTGTGTTACCCTGGCCCAGAGGTTTTTAGGTTTGGCGAACGCGAACTGCGAGAAAACGTGTGAAGAGAAAGGAGAAAACGCGCGAAGAAAGAGGAAAAACCTCTGGTGAATTTGTTAGCGATTCCTGGTTCGGATAAGGAATGCAAAAAATGCATAATGCATCGTATTCTAAAAATATTAGCCAATCATTAGCCTTGACGCCAGGCCGTCTAGACAGGGTTTTGCCGCCTTCTTGTGCCTGACTAGGTGCACTGCTTTCACTTCTCGCAAGAAAATGTGTCAATAAAACCTTGTTTATGTCTACTCCAAAGCATACTCCCACAAAAGCTTATCCTGTATCAACCGTTAATCTTAAGGAGATTTGCCGATTGTGCCGCATAAATTTCAAGATTGCTGGTCGTGGTCATTACAACATATTTTCGGGATTTAAGCATGATTTACAGCGTCAACTGTCTGGATTGCTGAAACGCGATGTTGTTCAAGAGAACCATTTGTCTTCTGTGGTGTGTCAAGGATGTTTTCGAAGGATTCAAAAATTCGAAAAGTTCCAGAAACAGCTGGATGATTTTGTTACGGCTTATTCCGAAAACGAAAGTATTCGAGTTCGCGAGAAGAGGTGTCGCCAGCTTTGGGAGTTGGTTAGAATGGAACAACAAAGAGATTATGTACTACATCCTCAGGTCGTGTGCTGTCTTCTCCCCTGAGAAAGAGAAATTGTTGAAAGAGGGAAATGTAAAGATAAGTAAAAGGCCTCATCAAGCTCTGTCTGTAGCCTCTTCCATATTGCTGAAGCACAGAAATCAACAAATGTCTGCTCAGGCATACCGAATTGGGGTAATGTTATGGAATGGAGGTACCAAAACGGAGGTAATATGTATTAATTCAAAAACAAAGCCCCAACATTGTTGTACTATATTAAGTCTCAGTATATGTGTTGCCGTCATGCCATTGTTTTGGTCAATCGAATTATTTGGGCAAAAATTTGCATTTCTATCGTGACATTCCATAACGATTTTATATGTAATTGTAAAATGTTGTTGTTTTTCCCCAACAGACCTTGGCTCTGATATAATATTCTTCCAACAAGACAACCTTCCATAATTTATAGCCTATAGGGCAACGACAGACTTTCAGATTTTACTCGGAGGGGGGGGGAGGCCAAAAATTGGGTGGGGGCAAACATTTAGTGGGGTAGAACAATGGATTGTGTAGCACTGCTAAACAATCTGCGGCAGGGGTCTGAGAGCACAGTTGCTAATGTGGTAAAGGGGGGAGGGGACATACAAGAGATTTTTGGTCTTATTTGGTTCAAATCCTTTGTTTTTATAGTCTAATACTTCAAAATTGTAATATTTCATTTACTCTATACTGTCATTTAATCCAATGAGCAGTTAAATTTATGGGGTGTGCAAATTTCTGTAGGTGGTGTGGAAAAGCTTTTTTTTGGGGGGGGGGTTGCAAAGTGTTTATGGGGGGGGGGGTCCCCCTGGAAAATCTGTCTATGCTAAAGGGCAACCACATCTTATTACTTCAGTTACATTTAATCTCTTTATATATAGTGCCATGATAGAATGCACAAATTGGGATTGGCTATGTCTCATAAGAGTGTACTAACAAAGATTGACAGCATGTGTAAAGGTCATGACAAACGTGTTCTACAATGGAAAAGAGAGACAGAAGATTGTGGAAAGAAACAACACATGGCAAACATAG